AAATGTAATTTTTTTTTCTGATGAATTTTTTATGTATATGGTGTTTTCTCTATATAAAAATTTATTGTTAAAATTTGTTGATTTTTTGAAAATTATTTGATAAAAGTTTGCACTTCTCTTCTATGGAATAAATTGTCATGTGCTGATTATTTATTTTGAAATAAATTTTATTTCATGTATGTATAAAAAGGCTTCTAGAAATAATATTTTGTTAATAAACAATATAGCTGCTACTTAAAATACCCGATTGACTTCTCATTTTTACTTATTCAAGAAATATTGAGTTTGTAACGAAGTTGTTGAAGATAAACTGTTATTAAGTACAGCACATACAATAGCGACGTCTTTCAATGCATTGACATTTTCTACTATGCACTTTGCATTCATGAAAGAGGCTTGTCTTATATTCTTATTGGTGATTTAATGTTTCGGTGTGGACGGCTACTGACTTAAAACAAAATTTAATTCTATGAATTTTTGGTCTGTCTGGGGCCTAAGATAGGATTTGGTTAGAGTCCCATCATCAGTAAATAGAAATTATTTAATTTTTAACTTCTATTTAATTGATTTTTGTTTTATTTTATTCTATTAATCTTTATTCTTTATTTTCATCTATTCTTATTTCGCTTCATTTTAGTTATTTTTCATTCTTTGTTTTTATTTTACAAGTTATTTTATTTGGTTTTGTTCTAGATTCTGTTATGACAAGAAGTCCATCAACAGTGAGTAGAAACTATTTTATTTTATTGTTTTTTAATTTAATTTATTTTTCATAATTTAATTTTTATCCATCTTTTTTTGTATCTTGTGTTGTAATTGTATATATATTTTTTTTCCTATTGTATGTTTTTATATATTTTATGTTTTTTATATTTCTTTTTGTATTTTATTTTTTTCGGTATTATTTAATAAAAGTTAAAATAAACTTAATTTCTAGCTAATTGAGGAGAGAAAGGATGCGTGCGGGGGAGGTCATAGTGTATCTAATATTGAGCTATAAACTCAACAGGTTTGCATGGGATTCCGTCGTTTTCCGACTATTAGACCGATCGTCGGAAATCAACGAAACCGACATCCGACAACTTCCAATAAGAATCCGACCGAATCCTAGTTTCGGATTACTCGTCCTGGGTCGGTTTTCGGTATATAGACTAACATCAACGGTATTGGTTTCGCTGGATCCACTAAATTTCATGGCCCAGCGAGCAAAATACTTTCACACACTCGATAACATTCGAACTAAGGGCACAATAATTTATTTTCACGACGAAACTTGGGTGACTGGTAGCAAGGAATAGAGCATTATCTGGTTGGATTCCGAAACAACGGATAGTCGTTTAAGAAATAGCGATACAAGAGATATCGGCGTATTCTTATGGTTGGATAACTCTGAGGGTGTGGATGTGCTCTTGTTGCTGGCACCCATAACCACACCCACACCCTCGTCGGGTTCGAATTGAAAAAAAACTTATGATGCATATAATGGTATTTTACCAATTTCTTTAAATTTTTGGTCGTTTTACTGAAAAAGCCTTAATTTATTTATAAAAGAAGATGAGATTTTTTGGCTTATAAAACGTGATTGACTTTTCATAATTGTTTATTGAATCAGCAGGTTTCTTCTTCTGCGGAAAAAAATTCATAGTATATTATTTTTTCATCCATATGAGTCAGTACAAAACAAAGTATTATTTTTAATTGAATAGTTGTTGAATAGAAGAAATAATATAAAGTCTTTGTAATGAATACATTTATTCTTCTATCAGGTACAATTGGATGGGAGTAAGAGCTAATTGTAATCTAATTATGATGGAATCACTATCGGATCTTTTGAAGAATAGGTAAAGCATGCTTAGGGGTGTCATTTTCCTGTCAATTTAGAATAAATATAAATTATTGGTAATTTATATTTAAAACAAACATAAATATTTTATTTTCATGATAATTTAATTTACGCATGAATTAAGTTGCAAGTAAATATGAGTTGAGACCCCTACGTATACTAGTTATTTAACAGATAAAAAAGATGGACCAGATCGGGTTCGGGTCAAAAAAAGTGTTAATCAGTCGGCTCTGGTTTCAGGCCCAGAAATTCTTAGACCTGATGGACTCTAGTCACAGTGTCGTTGATCTAGAGAAGCACTCACATCCACATCCACAAAACACTTGTAGTCGATGTTCTTTACAGTATTGCGTATTGGCTATGGAACAATATTTATGTATCAAAATAAAGTAATCAAGATTCTTTTGTTGTCATCTATGCAATTCAACAAACACAGTGTGAGTGTTCTGATTCGAGTCAAGCTTAGAAAAAGTAAAATAATTTGTGATATATTTCGATTTATAAATCTTTATCCAAAATAATACTACAGGGTTGATTTTATTTAATAATTTCAGAAAAAAAAAGATACATTATTGATAGTGAATGAAGACAGTTGACTTTTTCACACTTCGTGTAATGTAAGAAAACAAGAGTAGTTAACACCCTCTACCATCTAGTAGTAATATAATGAACATGTGGCGCATCATTTTATCACACACAATATGAACGAGTTCATTTTTTTTGTCCTCTAATTTATAATAAGAATGTCGCTCTTTGTTTTGATTGGTGGCAGGAGAGACAAACAAGCAAAGCAAAGTGAAACACATATTAAATATCATATTGATAATCTTAGTATTTTTTCTGTTCTACTCGAAAATGAGTAAAACGACAAATATTGTTTGGTTACAAAATAATCAAGACGAATCTATACCAAATGAATTACGTTCATATATTGCTCTATTTTCTAGTGAAGATGCTTGTTATCAATTTATATCATCATTACCAATAAAATTACGTGGTTTAACACTTGTTGTTACTAACTCAACAATATCAATAGATCGCCTTATACAATTAAAACAAATCTCAACTATTTATATTCTTTCATCGTCAAAGTCAAATATAAAACATTCTTCAAAAATTCATGGAATTTTTCATGATTATCAATCATTAATAAATCAAATAGTTTCAGATTTAAATCGAACAAAATCATTACCACCTGGATTTATAAATGGTATTGCAGCACCATTTCAAGGTTTTTATTTTATTCTAACACATCCATCAACATGGACACGTGCACTTGTACCTGCATTCATATTTACTATACTTCTTTTTGCTTTTGCCATACCTGGAGTATGGGGAATGTATTTATTTACAAATCGTTTAATTCAACAACATACATCACGTTGGATCTATTTTGGTATATGGTTACTGCGTGTTGTACTTTATATAGTTGCAATATTTCTTTCATTAATTCTTGCATTTATAACAGCCCAACCATTAAGTGCACCAGCACTTGAAAGTCTTGTTCGAGCTCAAGAACATCATTTAAAATATCCGAATCGACCTGAAGAAGCATTTTGTTCCAGTGTATGGAGAAGTATTCGTGTAGCTATTGTTTCAATTTTAACGTCATTATGTATATTTACTTTGTTAACATTGACAGAATTCTTTTTTCCACCACTTATTATTATAACAACTCCATTAAAGTTTATTGTAACCGGTTTTATTCTTGCTTATGATATTATTGATTATCCATTATCATTACATTTATTTGGTATACGAGAACGTACACCATGGTTTAGACATTATATATGGGCAACACTTGGTTTTGGTATAGCCATCGAAGTTATTTTTCTTATACCAGGAGCTTTTCTTCTTTTGTTACCAGCAGGTGTTTGCGGTGCAACAAGAATTGTTGTTGCAGCTGAACGAGCACAGATCGATCGACCCTTGTTACTTATAGATGATCTTATGTAAATCGTTGATAAAATATTTCTTTTTGTTTAGTTAGATAATATAAAGAATGTTTCAGAAGCTCTTAAACGATTTAAAAATTCATTGTTCTTGTATTCAACAAAAGCAAAGTTTTTTTCAACTTGGCAGATTATTGAACCTACTTAATATTAAATAACTGCAAAGCTTCAGGACGATACCTTTTACTCTATATGAGAAACTGTCAAAACACTACTTATTTCCATGTGTGTCGATAGGAGAATTGTAAAAGTTAGTAATAGAGAAAAAAAACGATCCAAACATAAGGTGACTCAGAAAGTGTAATTTTTCAAAATGATTACGATTCTTAGTAAAGAATGTGTGTAGCTTTGAATTCTGCAAGCATATTTTTATCAATCGAATACAGTCAGAGAATTATACTGCACATCTATAGAACACATGTAGAGTGTATTAAAAGAGAAATTACGAAGGTGGAAATACAATAACATTGATATGTGTTTCTTCTTGCTTCGAAAATTTGTTTTAAGTTAACAATATCAACTGACGTAATTCTTAAATTAACAAAAAAAAAGGTGCTTGATAGTGTTACAGTTTCTCATTTATAGTAAATGCTATTAACCTGAAATTTTGTAATTATTTAATATAGAGTAGATACAATAATCTGCCAAAGTTGCAATAACTTTACTTTTGTTTAATACAAGAACGGTGAATTTTAAAACCGTTTGAGAACTTCTGGAACACCCTTTATATATCTGTCTTAGAAGACATATTTTTTGTGTATATTAAACTTCTAAAACCAAAATAAATATTGTAAAATAATATTCAACGTTATAAGAGAAAAGACTGTCAAGCAAATTCCTATGGAATTTAAACGTAAAAAATGATGGACTTGATTTGAATAACAATGTTTTCAGTTCGATAGTTTTTATGCCTACTGAGGCAAAGGATATGTTAATTGGCATTTTTCTAGCAATATAATTTATCATTATCATTAACTATGAGGTGAATAAAAAAAACAATTCTTTACTTTGTAACCAAATCGAACATTTCCTAATGTTTACAATCAAAGTTAATGATGATGACAAAAAAAGAGCTCTACTGATTATGTTAATTACATATTTAAAATTGATTGTGATATCATGTATCATCATTGTAGAGAAATCAAGCCGATAAGCCCTTGAGAAACTATTGATGATGAAGAATTTTTTTATGTTATTCAGATAGTTTGATGCGAAACGAAGTTAGAAGTACCAAAAGATTGACCATTATCGTAGAATTATTCGCGTACTTACTGGTTTCATTGTTAAATATTTAATTAATACTGGCAAAAAATATCTTGCCTATCATGTTGGTGAATATATTTGATCTGTATAAGTATCTTTAGTTTCACATATCTATGTTACAAATAAGTTATATTTCGATAAATCTTATTACAATTGATCAAAGCTGTACACTAATGCCATCTATTTTCCAATTGTTTACGATAAAAAATTTGTATTGAAGAAGTCTTCATTTTTCATAATTTTTTTTTCTTGTGTTCAAATATGTCTTGATTATCTAATAATTCGTTCATCCTTAGAATTTCTAGTTAGATCCAATTAATAACCTGCCGCTATTATCAATGTTATTAATCATCGAACATACCGCTACGTAATTCATTCCTTCAGCGGTCACATCAATATTAGTAACATATAAAATTCACTATATGCATTAAGAGACTAGTGAATAATGTTTGAGAATGATGACCGATTGATGAAAGAGAAAGAGAAATAACTCAATATAGTACTGAATTTTCTATTTCTTTTGTGTTCTGATTAAAATAATGTATCCTAAGTTGATCATCAACCAAGGGCGTTTTTTTCCTATTCTTTCTCAATAACAAAATAACAACACAACATTAATTTATTTCTGTTTACGTTTTTAGACGATTTGCGTCAATTGCACAGGGTTTACTTATTTTTTTTTTACTTTGTTTTAAAGTTACCGACGAAAAAAAATGTCTACTCGATCTGCATCAGGATCACGAATCCGTAATGCCTCACCATCAGGTTCTAGCGCATTAAATGTATCTCGTGCTGAAGAAAAAGAACAATTAGAAACACTTAATAATCGTTTGGCTGTCTATATTGATACAGTACGTCGTTTAGAACATGATAATAAAGAATTAAAGGTAAAAAACTAATCTTTTTTTTTTGATCTTCAAGAAAATAAATGTTTTATTTTATCAAGAATATAATTGCATCGTATACAGATACATATGAACTTCAAACATCGAAAGTAAAACAATTATATGAACGTGAACTTGAGGATGCAAAAAAATTAATTGAAGAACTTGCAAGAGAAAAATCACGTTTGGAAATTGAAGCTGAAAGAGCAAATGCTGAAGCACAAGATGCATTGACGAAGTAAGTTGAACTATTTTGATTTGATTTATATATTTATTTGAAATATTCTACTTTAGACTTGCTCGTAAAGAACGTGAATTACGTTCGGCTGAAGCTCGAATTAAACAATATGAAACAGAAATTGGAGATTTAAAAGGACGGAATGAAGCACTTGTTTTTGATAATAATCGAAAAACAGATGATAATGTCGTAAGTTAATTTATCAACATTCTTATTTTAAAATAACTTCATCAGCAGATTTTTAATTCTAACTAAAAGAATGTTCAACATTCCTCAAGTTAACATCATCTAGTTCATCTATGGTTTGACCTGAAGAAAATTTTACAGATTTATGAAGATATCATTCATAAATAAGGGGTGGATACGAAATATATCGATAGGGTACATTATTATAAATAGACCTTATAGTTAGAAGATACAAATTTTCATTATTTCATCGACTATCATACTAATAATGTCGAGACTATTTCCTTTTATTCATACATAAGGGTTGATAGTCATCAAGTAGCTTTTATAAACTCCTATTGAATTAACTTGTAAACATAAATGAAAAGAATGCTGCTCGTTTCTATTACATAAACTTTAATATTGGATTTTGTTTTTAATTTGATTGTGAACATTTTTCATTGAAGACTTTACGTGGTCAAAATGGCGATCTTGAAAAACAAGTGAATACATTAAAACGTCAACTTGAATCTGAAACTCTTTTACGTATTGATCTCGAAAATAAAAATAAAACATTACGTGAAGAACTTCAATTTAATCAACAAATTCATGAAACGGTAAATAATACAACTTGGTTTTTTTTCCTCATAAAATTCTTATTGTCTTGATGTTGTCTTTGTTTTTAAGGCTGTCGATGAAATTCGTCGACAAAAACGTGTCGAACTTAAATCATATGATGATGGTTTACGTCAACAATATGATGATAATTTATTACATGAATTACAACAATTACGTATGCAAACTGATCAAGAACTGCAATCCATACGTGATGAAATAGCTGGACAATATGAACAAAAAATTGAAGATTTAAAAAATACGATTCGTCGTAATGCTGATCAATTTGGTTCATATAGATCTGATGTTGCATCCTATCGTGAACGTATTGAAGATATGACTAAAGCTCGTGATGCATTAAATGATAAAGTTTTATTTCTTGAACAACGTTGTCGTGATTTGGAAGATCGTCTTCATCGTGCACAACAACGACAAGATGAATTATTAGCTGAACGTGAAGATGAATTACAACGTTTAAAACAACAAATTGAACAAATGCAAATTGATTATCAAAATTTACTTGATATTAAAATAGGTCTTGATAGAGAAATTGCAACATATAGAAAATTACTTGAATCGGAAGAAGAACGGTAAATAAATTCGTTTTTTTTTCAATATAAAATTTTAATTTTGAAATTTTAAAGACTTAATATATCGGGTAGTTCAAGTCGTATTGGTGGTGACAGGTCATATTCTGATGGTGCTGGTGTAACAACAACATCAAGTAGAACATTTGACAGTAGTACATATCCATCACGTAAACGTCTACGTTATGAACCGGATGAACGATTATCAATACATAGTCATTTACTTGATGGTATTAATATAATTGATGATGATAGTTCACATCCAAAATTTGTTAAATTAATTAATAATTCAAATCAAGAAATCAATTTAAATGGATGGATACTTAAACGTAAAGTTGGTTCACAATCGTATGAATTTAAATTTCCTAGAGGAATGACTTTGAAAGCTGGTGCTACAACAACAGTAAGATAAAATATTTTCTTTTATTTTCAGTAAATTTTATTTTTAGATTTGGAGTTCGGATGTTAATGATATATCAGTTGATCCACCAACAAATTTAAAATTACGTACAACTAAATGGTTTACAGCTGGTAATGAAACTAAAAAAACAATTTTAGAAGATGCAGATGGACGTGTAAGTTAAATATACATATGTCTTTTTTCTTTTACTTACGTAATTCATTTTTTATTTATTTAGATTGTTGCCGAAAAAACAATTACTATCAAATAAAAAACTAATAGTTTTTGAGCTTTTTTTTTTGCTTTATATGTAAAAATATTCTTGATGTAGTTTTTCTTGGTTTTTTTTCTTGATCAAGCTTTTTGGCATTTGATATACATTATTCAAGATGTTTATCTCATATCAGTAGAAAGAAGACGATGGTATTTTTCATTTGCACACATATACACACATTTATAATCTTATTTTCTCTCTTTTTTTTTAATCTAACAGTAGTTTGATCATCTCTCACATTTGTTTTGTATTTCTGTCATTGTTCTCGTTGCATACTATTCTTGTTTTGTTTTTTTCCATCGAAAAGATTTGTTATAGTATTTTTTGTCGTTGTCTTCTTCTATTTAGCAAAATTAAACATTGCTCATAATCAAAAATGAATTGATTATAATCATGTCCTTGATTTATGTCTTTAATTATAGGTAAGTGATGAATAAATGTCACTTGAAATATGGTAATCATTGATGACACATGATAAGTTTTTATGTCGTTTTCTAGTCATTTGATAGAAAAGAAAAATGGACAGGAGTATATTGCATTGACAATATTTTTCATCTATATATGTGTCGCATCCTAAATCGATGATTGTATCTAATAGAAATTTTCTTTCTTTTCAATAAAAATTTTCAATTTATTGAAGTATAATTTAAAATGAAATTGATAGTAAGAATAGATAGTTAAGGTTAAAACTAATATTTATACGAGAAATGATTGTTGATGATAGATGTATTTGAATATACGTGATGATTATATTCAAAAAGAAAAATAATGACAGAGTTTATCATGCAACTGTGAAAATTAATGTAACAATGATCAAAGAATATCTATATAGAAGATCAATCAAATGGATGTTAATAGTAGATAATGATCACAGATTGCTGAAAAAAATCGATCATCATAGAAAAAGATCATTCAGAGAAAAATTAATAACTCCGACAAAACATGCAATCAATGTCAAACATTGATGGATTTCTATTTATGTCATGTAATAATCCCTTTATAGTCTATAAATACAAATGTTGAACATAAATTTTAGTATGTACTATATAATCAAATGATGAAGTTTTTAAGAACACCGTAAAGATTTCTTTTTAGTTATCCGATGTTAAAATAAAAGAACCACAAAAAAGACATGTCGGACGTCGATTTTGGATTTTTTTACAGCATGAAAAATCTTATTCATTAATGTACTGTTAAAAAAAGTCATTTTGATGTACGGAGTAAAGTTTTAAGAATGCTATTAAGATGTTTTTTACGTAGTATTGCACAAAGGCGTTATAAGTGATACAGCTTACGTATATATATAAATTGTTGAATTTTGATTCGAATTATCAATGGTTATAGTCTTTATTATTCAAATATTTTGAATGTTTTTTTTTCAAAATAGGTTAAATTTAAGACATTTTTCTAGCACACCGTTGTGGATAGTTAACATTTTTAATCAATCGATGGAAGAAATTGCCTACGTAAAAGCGAAGTTTTGTTTGCAGTTTTTTAAAGAAAACCAGTTATTTTCTCTTAAAGAGGAATTGAATCAGGTTATACTTTGAAGAGTAATATATTATAAAGACAGAAGATAAGACAAACGTCAAAAGTATCGCTTGATCGTCAACATATCTAAAATTCATTCAATGATGACTACAATATGCACTATTCAATTATTCATTTTCAATCAGTTCAAGTATAAGAAAAACCACCATTTTCGCGAAAAATTCGTTGGTTCACAATTACATAATTCAATCGGTCAAAAACCGGTCTGTTTTATATATCAATTAGCGAATTAGTTATTTTGAGAAAGGCATAGTAGCATAACTACACGAAGAGATAAATTGTAGTATTTATGTAACTCTTGGGCTTTCTTATAGTACTTATTTCTATTTTAGTATGTTGTGTTCCATATACTCTAATATTAGAAGCGTGAGAACAACAGTCTTAAAACTGTTCATCGCATAACTCACAGGGCATTGATATGAAACTATGTCATTTATTTTGACTCGTTTTCTTTGATGGATACATTTGTTTACAAGAATTAAAAAATTGGATATTTTCTTATTTCAAATCATTACTTAATAACACCAATCGGCTTCTTAACTATTATAAGTTGACGGCTATCAGAAGAAGAAAAAAAATGAGCCACAAAGTTCAGTTTGTGAATAGGCTTTCATATTTTTAGATTTCTCAAGGCTTAGATATCTTTACATTTACATCAGACTAGTAATTATCACAAAAGTTCCATAAAACAAATGAATTCTTTTTCTTTGTTTATAGATAAGAAAAATATCAATTGAGAAATATTGTCTATTGAAAGTTTCGACAGCTCCTTAAGAGCAATTCATAGTGAGTTCGAAATTTCGAGATGAAGAAATTCCTAGGTTAGTGTAAATTCAAGTTCCAAATAGCTGGTCATTTTTCGTTGAACGTCATTAATGCATTCAATATTATCCAAGATCTTTCATAATACGATAGAGAAAAACGAGTACAAAGATTAGAATTAAAATTTCTATCATAACAATTAAAACTTAGTCAGCTCTAAATAGTGTCCTGGAACTGAGCTGGATACCCAGCACCAATTTGAACTCGGAGCATGTGTCCGGATCCAGTCTAGCCAGATCGGCTTGGGGTGCCAAATATGAAGAAAAACGTTGGTTCGTATCCTGAGTATGATCTCATGCCCGAGCCTGATCCGGGAATTAATAAGACCTCAGAATTACAGAATATTTTTACTTTTTCAAAGTGCTAATTTATATAAAAGCATAGGATGAACATGTATGTATCCACAATTATGACGTTTGGCACCAACACTGCGTCCCATTCCAGCATCATGAGCAACAAGCAGATATAGAGTTAGCGAATCCTGAGTCACATGCTTTTTTGTGGAATTTTGAGGTGATATCTTCTTTTTTCTGTTGCTGTTTATAGAAAAAATTAGATAGTGTACTTTTTCACACAAACAAAAATTTAAAAGCACGACTGTGACTGTGAACGTATGTGCTGGAAGTATAGTAGCTCCGATCGGACATCCGACACATCTATCCGGATCTGGTTTGGATTTTGGTATAAAAAAAAGTACTGATTCTGATTCGGTTGCGAAAAGTCGTACACGTGCAGGACACCAGCTTTGAATTTCAAGACTATTTTTCTCGGCCATTGAGCAATGGAAAATCATTAAAAATGAGTAAAGATGAATTCATTTCAGTGCCTGAAAAGCTAACTGATTCTAAATATTCTACTGGACCAAATCAGTAAAAGATAAATTTTATTTTCAAATGTTACGAATGAATGTTTATTTACTGATTGAATTTTTATATTATGAGTCATGATATAGTACGCAAAAAATGGTACGCATATTCTTTATTTCAATTGAAGTTGAAGTAATTCTTTTACATATTACCTAAAATAAGCAATTATATTTACAATTTTCGAGTCAATCAATTTTTTTATGCTCTGAATATCTTTTAGAACTGATATGTATGTCGACAGTTTACTTCCTTTGATCGATGATTGTATCTGTGAATAGACTGTTGATTTTGTTCGACTAGCGCCCTCGTCATATTACTTGTCAAACTTTTATAAACAATTGGTCGTTTTATTTACTCCAATCCAAATTGAACAAGAAGTTTTCCTTAGCTAACGTTTGTAAGAGAACAGAGCATACTGGTATATACGAAACATTTTATATTGCGTTACGCTTGAGCACGTTCACTTCTCATCCTCAATTAAGGCCATGTGTCGTCTATGTACGATAATAAAAAAAAAAAGTATCTCGAAAAATCGGATCATTAATCTCTTATCATTCTTTTAGATGATATAATTTATTTAATTAATTTTATTACTTTTGTCTTAAATAGATCTTTTACAATGTTATTTATAAAAAATCAAACCAATCGACAAACTTTATTTGGTGGTTTTTATTTTTTATATTTTCTCTTTATATTACATATATGTACAGCATTTTTAACGATAATCAGTGGACTTAATAATGACTTTAGGGATAATGAAGGTTTTAATTGATTTTCTGATTTTTTTAAAAATTAATCCTTTAATTAATTTTTTAGCAATTATTCAATTATCAATGGATTCAATTCATGTTGTTGATTCCTCAGATCATCAAATTGCCGTAAGTTTCATATTTATTCTTAAAATATCTTATTTTTTATCTTTTTCTTTTTGAAGAATATCGAAGAAAATATAAATGATAATGAAGAAAAAGAACTTCTTATGGCTCTCGTAACATCTTACGATGATGAATTAAAAACAAATAAAAAAGTTGATAATGAAATACCTATAGTACATACTTCAACATCAATTCGTTTTATTCCTTCTTTATTAAATTTTTCTGAACAGTAAGTTTTATTCAATATAAACTCTAATAGAAATTAATTTAATATAAAATAAAGATCAATAGCTATACCTCAAATGCAAACAATTATTATAATTAATGATGATTCTCAACCACTTGAACTTTATTCATTAGTAGGAACAACCAATCAATTTTATTCATCAGTTTTTAAACAAAATGTTCTTCCACCTTATGGTGGTAAAACATCAATAAACGTTTATTATTTACCAAGAACAATTGGTATTACAAATAGTATATTTACAATAAAAACGAATCGGGGGAATTTTTATTATACTGTAAATAAATAATTTATTTTTCTAAATATTAATCTTTAATTATTTAAAGGTCAGTGGTATTGGTAAACCAAATCCATTTCGTTTACGTCCATTAGTTAATGGAATAATACCATTGAATTCTACATATGAATATACAATTCAATTTTATAATCCATATAATTATTCATTAGATATAAATGAAATTTATACGAGTGATGAAAATTTAATTATTGAATTTTTATCAAATAGAAATATCAAGAACAGAATAACAAAAACATTTGAACATTATGAACAATGGCATTTAAAACCTTATGAAATAAAACCGATTATTAAAATAAATTATTTTGCATATAAATTAAATAAATTACATGGTTATGTTTGTA